TTTTATTGCTTACATTAATTATGATGGCAGAGACCCAGGTTTTCAAATCCTCTTAACATAAGAAGCCAATTTGTATAAAAGTGGGAAAAGGACCAAAGGCTTTTCTTCACATCTTTCCAAGTGTTGTGTGGTGGGTGGAGGTGCTTTTTTTCATATTTATTACTGATTGGGATGGATGAACAAGGCCTTTAGCTGAAGCTGTGGTTGCACTGAGCTGCGCTAGCAGCTGGAGGCTGTTGGAGTGTTGACTCCAAAGAGAGGACAGCATTCCTACTGGCATCCAGTGTTTGCTTCCAGTATTTTTAATAATGCAAAGTAATAAGGAAACATCTGTTTTTTCAAGTTAGCTTAATGAGTTAGGGAGCAAATGGTTTGATTGCACTTATCTAGTTGGAATAGTCAGCAGTATTTTAAGCTCCCAGTGAAAGTCAGGAGAATGGAGAAGACTTTCTAAGTGATTACAGTGAAAATAATGTATGCATATTTTCTGTCTTTTTCTTTTAAACCCTATTCTCATAAATTCAGCTCGAAAATTGGGAAGTTGCCTAGCTAAGTCCTATTTCCTTTCACAGTGAGATACCCAGTCAGCAGTACGACCATGTTAAAAAAAACCAACAACCCACACATAGTTTTGCAAACCTATGAGTCTTTGATTTAGATAAATTAACAAATAAATACATGTCAGCCCTACAGAGCAGATTAACAGGGAAAAAAATCCCTTCTCCATGCAACTTGAAGGGCAGTGGTGGTACAAGTAGGCTCTGATGTCTGGGACTCTGGTCACCGTTCAGGTGAACCATTCTGCAGTGACAGAGAGGAGGTAGTTCACCCTCCATCTCTGATAAGACTGGTGGCCTGTGTTAGTGACTTTCGTCATATCACCTGATAATTAGAATGGATTTGAAACCAGGACCTCTTTTTCCACGCTCTCTGACAGGTGATTGAGAAACAAGCAGTTGTATGGCTACTTATCTTAAGGATATTTAATTCTGTACACTACAAGAAAAGCTTTGCGTTGAGGTATTTATCACTTGCACTTATACTTTACTTCCCTTCAGACGTGACACACTGGAAATGTCATATTGCTTGTTTTTATCTTAGTCTCCTTCATTACTCATTCCTAAAGGATTATAATTTACTAATTCTGCCACTTTAAAAATATTGTCTTAAATAATTATTTCTTCTCATTTAATGGTGGGTTGTTTCTTTTTTTAGTTGACTGAGAAAGTTTACCTATAGTGGAAACTTAGATAATAGGTGCTTGAGCTTTCATACTGAATCTGTAGAAGTTGTTTGGGAGCTTTCTTCATGCTTGAAAAGTGGAATTTTTTTAAAAAAAGAAAAAAAAAAGATTGTTTCTCATGAGCTCTCCTGCTTTCTGTAGAAAGGGAATGGAGCAAGCCAGCACAATTGAGATGATTCTGATGATGTATCACTGGAACGAAGTAAATTGAGCTATAACTAGCCACTACTACTTCTTGAATTTCCACCAGTGACAACTTTAATATTTTCAAGTAAAAAGATAACTTATTTATCTTGTTAAAGATTTTATCAGGATGAAGACTATATGTCTGTTTGAAGGGAAAAGGGGGCTTAATTCCTGATAGTTAGCTAAGCAGTTAATTTTTCTTACAGGAAATCTAAATTTAATAGAAGACCCGAGGAAAATTCAAGGGTGTGAACAATACGCATAATATTTTATGAAAATGACCCCCATATTTAAAATCTGGCATTATATGTTATGCATTGTAGCACCAAGTCCACATCTACCTTTTAGAAAATTAAAACACATAAATTCTGTTTAGTGTTTGATATGTGCTGCACTAGCTGAAAGCCATAATGCCCCTAAAACCTTGGGTTGCTTTTCACCTTTCATAAATTCCTGGGTAGATTCTATACAAAAAATAATTTTCAGCTCCGTGGCTCATTGTTATTCAAACTTGATTGATTGTCGTCATTTACTCAGTGAGGAAGTTAAGTGCTCCTGTCATTTCCGAAGAGTATAATTGGGACGTTTCACAGGTCAGCGGTAGTGACAGGTTTCCCTTTTGATTAGTGTTAGACTGATAACAAAAATTACAGTTTCCTATGATTAATGTTTTCTATAGTACTTGAATGCACAGCTCATGGATTGTACCTAAACAAAGTGAATTTGCATCTGATTATGCCTTTTCTCTGTCAGGCTTTTCACGTGCTTTAAAGTTTTACACCATGCATGTAGTGCAGCAAAGTTGCTTCGAAATGCAGTTTTCAAGTTGAGGGTTAGTGAGGCCCATGGAATTTTAGTGTATTAATGCACACAGAAGTATGTGCCTCCAGTGACATGTGAACAAATCAGGACAAATTTCAACTAAAGATAGTACTCTGCCTTCCCTTTAGTTCTGTCAGACAAACCATGCAAGTGAGTACTGGTATTATATCCCTGCTATTTTAAGTATAATCTGGCAATTTAAGTTAACTCAGTTCAGACTGAGCATTTTACTTCCTTTTACCAGTCTGACATTATTTCTCAGTTCCTTAAACCTGTTGCTGTTTATTTGTTTACAGACTACTGAGTAAAAACAATGGAAACACACTGAATTTACTTTCCCTGTTTTATGCCGTTAAAATCGGTCAACTTGTACATTATGGCACAAGTTCTAGGCTGAGATCATCTATGACAAGTTTTAGCTTGGTGGTATCTTTTTTAATGGCTAGATGAGAAATGGAACTTGAGTATGGAAAATGTGATGTTGTCCTGCTTGTGGCTGGAGAAGTAGCAATGGAGGCTGCTTCCTAATTTGATTAAATTATCCCTAATCAATAAAAAGGGGATGACAGCACCAGCAGAATTTCAGAATCAAAATACAAACTAATTTCTCCTCAATCTCTAGCCCTTTTCTGTTGTGCAGTACAAAACCTGATGATGTTTTTTTCTTTCTAAACACCATTGGGAAGGTCTCCTAAAAGTTGTAGTTTAACACAGATGTTGTACTTTGATTTGTAATTGCTTTGAGTGTTCGTGATTAGTGGTGGAATATTTGACCATTTGATTAGAACTGTTTTGGTTTCTGCTGTGGAGGTCAGGTCAGTGTGCATCTGTCTCAGCCATGCCAGGTACAGCCTGAATTTTGCTTTCTTTTATTGCAGTGGGAAACAAAAGTAAACCAGGGTGCTGGATCCTCCAGCATAGCCTGAATGTTGGCAGCTCTTGAGGTCAGGATAATTGGGCTGAAGAGACAGCATTGTGGTTCTTACCTGTCTTTGGCAGTAGGGTACATTCAAGCATGATTATGCGGAGACTTTATTTTAAAATGAAGACTAATTAGGTGTTCTCTGGTAAGAATGCAGTAGAAAATTGTCTCTAGTCTTCAGGACAGTAAATCTTTTTCTTTCCCCTTCTTTTTTTTCACTGGAACTGCAGCTTTCCTTAAATCAAAGTCATTTTATAAACAAAGGGAAGAATCTTACTTCTCACTTGTCCCATCCATTCATTATGTGTTAATGTGTACCAATATCAATTACTGTTCTTTATTAGACATTCTTTCAGTCTGACTTGCAAATAATACTGACCAAAAAGGAAGCTGGATTAAGAAAAATAGTTATTACTTATTTTAAAATTTTAACCACATTCAATAAACCAAGATTGGTTTCTAGGGTTTTTGGCTTCAGAGTATATGTATGATTTAAAGGAACTCAGCTGTGACACGAGATTAGAGTAGAGAATTAAATTGGGAAAATTCTGCTGCAGGCAAAACCTGCAGTATCCTCCGGTGCTTGTAACGAGTAGTTGATATGAATATCAACAGAAGTCAGGTGTACTGAGAGAAGTAAAGAGCACAGCTGAAAATAGTAAAATTGGTGCTATTCCTTATCTGTTGCTTTGGCTTGCTGCAATGAAGTGGAAAGAAAGTGATAGCCTGTGCTAAGGTTGGGTTTAGTGGCTACTCCTTGTTATTTCCTAGACTTGTAAAAGCACATGGCAAACGTACAATAAAGTGCTAATTATGTTGTTGTTGGGAATTAGGTGACTTTCAAGGTGAGCAAGGAAGTAAAGCATAAAACCTCTAGCATTGCTGCCTTTTTCGGGTAGTTGGCATTTGCTATTTCAAAGTTCTGACAGCACAAGCCATGTCTGGTGGCACAGATTCTTTTAGCTTATGTGTAGTTTAGAAGGAAAAAAATAATTTTCAGGTATGGAACAAGCTCAGAAAAAAAAAGCTAGAGATTTGCTGGCACATATACAGTGGTAGCTAGCAGAAGTGGTATCTAGGAAGTCACTTACATGATTGAGTTACCCTGGTTAGTTGGTAGGAATTCCTTTCTTTTTTCAGCTACTCATAGATCTCAGTTTCAGGCTGCAAGGCAGACCAAGTGCACATTCAAAGAAATCCTGTTTTGTTGGTCTTAACCGTAGTAGTGTTTAGTCTAATGCTATGAATGGTTGGGATGTACCAAGTTAGTTAAGAAATGAATTATCAAATTATTTTTTGTGCTGTTGTGAAGAGTCACAGTGAACAACTGTAGTTTACAGATCTGAATATTCTTCCTTGCATCAGGACTAGCGTGCCAGTTCATCAGCTTCCCCTCTTGGTTCTGAGCTCTTAAACAATTTGTGATAACATTTAACATACCACAGACTATTTGGGTGCAGCTAAATGAGTAAAATTATCCAAAGGAGAAGAGATAGAGCCATAATTTGCTCATTAAGTCAAAATCTTGATGTTGTTTTAAGATTTTTGGTCTTATTTTATAGCTTCACACTTTCTCAGACTTCACTGGATAAAAGGGGCTTTAAAGAAGCCCTTAGGATAGCGTATGGCTTTAGAGATAAAATGTTAAGCAAAAGCCTAATCTTAGATAAAGATTAAATACATAATTAGGGAAATACTTTTGACATAGTGCAGTCTCAGTAGGGCTATTGGGATGTCTGCAAAATATTTTCAGTATGAAGGGAAATGAAAAGCAGTCTTCACATTGAAAATAAAAAGGAGGAAAAACCAACAAAAATATCTCTGTAGATGAAAGCCTTGGATGATGATGATGACGACGACGATGAGGATGAAGATGAATTTGTGGAGGTCCCTGAGAAGGAAGGTTATGAGCCCCACATTCCAGACCACCTGCGTAAGGAATATGGTGAGTTTGCCCAGCTGTGACAGGCTTTATCCCTGCATGTTACTGCTGCACTAAAGTAAATAAACAGCCATTCTGAAGTAATAAAGTGATCAGTGGTGTGGGTAATCTCTGCCTGCTCTGAGGAAGTCATTACATGGATATGGGAGCAGTGATTGGCTCTAGATAAACAAATACTTTCTAGGAGCAAGAGCAACTGAGACGAGCAGCTTATTTCATTCCATCATGTTCCACTGGAGTTTAGGGCCAGAAGCAGCACTGTGTATGCTTTTAAGTGTGCAAAACATATACTGAGAATGAAAGGACTGCAAAATAAAGCTGTAAATGAACCTGGGTGTTAGAAATACTGGTGACAGTCTGGTGAAATGGGATAAGGTTCTATTCCATCACCTGCATTAATGGCAGTCGGAGATGCACAGCCACTTCCTCCCATAGAGTGGCCAACTTACGGCACTGCAGCTCTTTGGGTATTGCTATCACAAGAAGTGAAATGGAGCTCAGCCTTCAAGTGCAGAATTACAGCCACTGAGCACATACCGCATGACAAAATATAATCTTGCCTTTTTTGATGCATTCTAAGTAGATATTTTTTACATAAAGATATGTTTATAATGTGTTTTTTGTGAAATTGAGAGGGCAGTTACTCAGGAAAGTTCATCTTTAAATAATCCAATTTCAGAGCATTACTCCTTGTCCTTTGTACATCTCACTTAGTGTCTGCAGCTTTGCCTCTGTGTAGCGTTGTGACTTGCAAGATTTCAGTACATTGTAGAGAAGGAGTGGGTAGCTGCTGTTACAAACCTTGGTCACTGTAAGAAGTGTCTTGCTCCTTCATTCCTCCTTGAGTGTTTGTGCAAGACTTGTGCTGTGCCTTTTTCAGTGCTGTTAATGCTTGTTGTTCAGTTCTCTGCAGTTTTCATCATAAAAGTCAGGCTACAGCTATTGCCTGTACAAGCCAAACATTTCTTTTTGCTCAAACAAGGGGGGGTGTGCCTGTTTAGACCCAAGATGATAGAGCTCAAGTGACCTTTTTACTGTCTTCTGCCATCAAATCTGGCTACAGATAGTGAAAGATGATAAGTAATGATAACCTGTAGTGAATGGGGCCAGCTCAAGGTTGGCTCCAGGTGTGAAGTTCTGCTTATGCCTCAGTCCATCTACCCCACCTAGACTTAACCTACCAGGACACCCTGGGGAGTAAGGCCTGTGTTAATTTTCTGTGTTCCCCAAGTAATGACTTGAAACAGCTCCAACTGGCTTGTTCCACTTTGTTCGAAGGAGGTAGGTGATTCTATTCCTCCATGCCTTGAAAGAAACTGTGGAAATTATCAGCTATATAGAGAACTGAGGTTGGACTAGTGCCTTGTGAGCATGGGAGCTGCAGTGTGGTTTGGCATGGTTGTTAGCATAGGTTTTGCTTGAAACAGTCTGCAGGCACTTACTTTGTCCAAACAAGAGTTGGGGAAGATGAAGTGGAATTGGGAGTATTGAGATAGTGAAGTGGTAAGAAGATGTGTGTGTTAGACAAGAACACAGAACGCTGGCAAAGGCCTGTAGGACACAAACTCAGGAGCTGGACAGCCTTTTATTTTGTTGTTGATGGGAAAAAAAGGTTATATTTTGATTAATTATAGCAGTGTATGTTGGCTATTCCATCTACCTCAGTCTTGCAATAGATACTGAGTAAACTCTAATTACTGCTGATAGTGGGACTTTGAGAAAAAGAATGTAGTGGAAGAGAGCAGCAGCAGCCTTCCAGACAGTTGTGTAAAGCTTCTTATGTATACATGGCTAATGAGAGTCCAAAACATTGGTAATGATAGTAAATGGATGAGCAAATGAGGTTTGTTATTAACATAGCTATGGTTATTGGGGGGGTTACCTTTTTTTTATTTCCTTCCTTTGCCAGTACTTCTTGTGCCAAAATTGGTATTTTTGTAATACTTCCAGACACTGGAGCATGTTTTGCGTATCTTTAGCATCTGTCTAAAGAATCCCAACATGCAAAACTTCTGTTTATACTTTTCAGCTTCCATTGGAAGTGAAATATATTCATCTCTTCCCTTTAGTTTTCTCTCTTCCTCATGGACACACAGTTTTTAAAAATAAAGCATCTTACCACACTTTGTATTACACTAACACAATACTTGGCTGCTATTGGAATTTGTCCTCGTGGAAGTGGGTAAAAGCACAAGCCTACTATCTGCTCAGGGATTTTTTAAAAATCTACATAAAATGGATTAAGAAATTCCCAATTTGTATTTAAACTGTTGCTGATAGAAAAATACATTACAGTGAAAAAAACAATCAGAAAACAAAACCTCTCTCGCATTTTCTACACATGTAGTTATGTGGGAGCTAATGGTCACACTTGGCTGTTCTTTATCTGGTGTGTTTGTTAAAAATAACATTTTGAAAGAAATTGCATAATTTCTGATGTTTTTTAAGACATTCAGCTTTACTTGCCGCCATTTAAAGTAGGAAATTGTCTGACAATATCTCAGAATCCTTGAGAATCACAGAACAGTTAGGGTTGGAAGGGACTTCTGGATATCATCTAGTCCAACCCCCAAGTAGTTCATGCAATCTTTTAAGCACATTCTTTCCTCTGTCTTTGTGTACTTCTGTGCTTTCTTGGACCAACTGATCAGTTACTAATTCAAAAACCTATTTCAGAAGCAAATGTATAACTATTGCATAAACCAACTGACTTCTATGTAAGTACTTCAGGTCTGCGTGAGGAAAATGGGGAACTGTATTTGCTGTACTGCATTTTGTTCTGCATGTGTTTTTAAGAAACAAAACAGAATAAGCATCCCCTTGGTATATTTTATTTAAAATGAATTATCATTTTAAAATACACAATAATATATTGATTTCATAGCAGCATGTGCTCATCAAGAGCTGGATGTGTTAGGCAGCCACCTCTCTAATTAATGTGCCCCTTGGTTCCATGTACCAGTGCAGTTACCACAGCAGTGACTTTAGCTTTATCTAAATATTCAGGTGGGATTTTGCTACATTTCTTTAGTTCACATCTAGTTCACGAGGACTCCAAGCATAGAAAATGAAAGTTTGTGCAGTGTTTCTAACTAAAACATTAAACCTTCCATGTAAAATAAAATCACAGTGTTATGTGGAAGGTGTAATGGATAAAAGCTTTTTTCCTTTTGTTGTTTCTTTTCCTGAAAAAAACCCCAACAGGTTAACTTTTTATATGAAACAGGAAAACAAAATTGTAAAACATGAGTGTGGAAATGGATTGAAACATGACATTTAATTTATTGATTTGAAAGTCACTTTATTCCCTTTCACTTCTCATAGGAAAATGAGAATATCCTACCAACATGGTAAATTTGACGCTAAGATGCTATTTCTGACTACACATGTGGTTCTCCTGAGATCTGAAAAGCTTGTAAAAAATGAAAAGATATTTAGAGGCAAGGGAAGCTTGGTGCATAAGTATATAGACATGCCCAGTCGTATTATCTATGTGTTTTTGTGGTTGATGATGATGGTGGTGGTCTCAAAATTGATGAGGATATTAAATATATAAATGAACTGAGCATGGGTACACTTTGGGTGGAAGGAGAATAGAACAAGTCAATTTGAATCTCCATGTATAAGATGAAATGTAAATTTGTTAAAAGAATTTAGGTGATTAGATAACTGAAGTGTGAAGATATAACCCATTAGGGGTGTCATGCCAAATTAGCATTACCAGACTTTTAACGACCTCCCATTTGTATAATCCTTATTTACACTTGCACCTGATGTCTGCAACAGACAGGAGACCAGCCATCCTGTGGGACCACAGGGCCATTTTAAATACATTGTGTTGCTAAAGAGGAATGTTGAGCTGAAAAAGAAACAACACTGAAAATAATTTTCATAAGGTTGCTCTGGTTTTCAGCACCGGGCACTGATGTTGCTGATATCCATGGAAGGCTGACTTGCCCTTGTATGGCTGCTATTGCTAAACCCTGAAAAATCAAGGCATTATTCATTTAAAAGAAGGCTTCAGGAAGAAATAAAATCTTGTTTCCACTTGAGATTTCCCACATTCCAGCCTTTGTTGGTCAGCTGTCAGTTGCATTGCCATAGAGCCTTAAGGTGGTTGAGGTAAGGGATGGAACTGTGCAGTTCCAGCATCATTCCTATGCCTTAGACACAATTCAATGCTGGTGCCAGAAGAAGAGTTTCTGTCCTGCCCTTGGCAGTCTTGGCCTAGCTTACAGCTGAGCTCTGAACCACATGGGAAGTGATTTGAGAGATGTGCTTTGCCATGTAAAAATGGACAACTCTTGGATCTAGTTCAAAGCACCTACCTCAGCTGATAGTCCTTGTCTGTGTCTCATGCAAGCATTGATGAATTTACTTACATGATACTGCTTTGAGGACAGGGAAGTGCCATTGCAGTTTTACAAGTGGTGATACAAAGTCATCTGACTTGGGAATATTAGCATGGAAGCAGTCTACTGGTTATCAAGTTTCATCCTTACCCAAAATTCTGTGAGAAATTACAGTACAGCCAAGAATACAAACCATTATTTCAAATCTGGTTAATCAGATTATTTCTCTTGTATTTGAGCCTTGAGCTAGAGTGTGTTTAGGTCCCTGAGAGCTACTTCAGTGGTTCACGTTACATCTTAAAGCCTACTTGAGATTTCTTTCATATCAGGATCAAACCTGCAGTGCTAAAATACCAAGGGTTAGTTCTATGCATGTCATAAATTCTTCCCTCTTCTCTTCACAGAGTGATGTGCCTTTGTGGGTTAATGTCCCCACACCACCTTTCCTAATCTGATGGTGTCTGAGTCATGGTTTTCTGTGTGTTAAGTAGCTGCCCTTTTTTTTTTTTTTTCTTCTTGTTACTACGAAAAGTCACAGCAAGGTGAGGAAGAAGGGTTATACCCCAGTTGAACTAATAAGGTGTACAAACCACTATTTCCTTAGTAAGGAAGTTTTCATCTGTTTTTTTTACATAGAATTAGGAGTGCTTC